AGAGAGAGAGAGAAATTATTCTAACCTAATGATGACTAAAGGCACATCTTTTTTTCCAAGGTTTATGACATTAAAAGCAACCACAGATAAATCGTTCCTTACCTCCAGAATTGGGTATAACTTGTCATCCTTCACACAGATTCCAAGATACCTTTTTTCAAACAAGAGACCAAGAAATATTTATTATAGCTTTTCTGCCTACTGAAGTTTCCATCAAAACTAAATTAAAACATTCTTTTTTAAAACAGAAAGAAAAAGAGAGTATGTAAGAAATAAATTCTAGGAATCAGCATTCTTTAAAGGGAGCTTGCTAAATCTGAGAGGGTTTGGAGGAAGTCATACCATCCATATATCTCTTTGAAGGGCCCGTCTTTCTCCCTGGTTTGCAGCAGCTCATGGTCTCCCCACCCTGGAGGAGACTCACCTGACAATGTTGGGGTGGGAGAGCTTCTGGAGCAAGCTGATCTCCCGCACAATCCCTTCCTGGTCCGCGTCGTTCTTGTAGATCTTCACCACCATCGCTTTGCTCCCAGCGCTTGGAGCTACCTGCAAGGAGCACAGAAGTAAGAGCACACCTCATCAGATAAAAACATCCGTGCTCCGATCCAGGACCAGGTAAACTGCCAACCGTTCTGCTCGCTTTTCCAGACCCACAGGTTGCCCTTCACCTAAACCCCCCTGGGGAGTGGAAGACTGCCTCCAGGAGAGCAGGCCAAAAAGGGGAAGAGAACTTTGTGTCAGGAGGATGCAGTACAGGGTGAGACAAGGAAACAAGAAAAGGAAAAAGATGAGGGAAAGCCTATTGTCAATATCCTCAACCAACCCATAATGGCCCATCCATTCCCTGCCATCACATTACTACTCCAAGACCTTTTCCTATCCAAAAACTCACTGCCTCACTTTTTTCTTGCACAGGGCAGACCCTACTGGGTAGCAGGTGACATGTCAGGAAGTGCCAAGGGATTAAGGGGGGGGGGAACAGACAGAGGCAGGGAAAATATGTTCTCTGAATGGAGCAGCATTAAAGTGTTGCTACAAGAGGCAAAGGCCACCAGACAGGCTTCATAATTCAGCAATTTTGTGACTTCCACACGTTGATAAGCTTCTCCTCCACGTCTTTAATAATCTCCTTTCAAAACTATCTAAGTTGGCCAATGTTACAACATTGAGGCAATACACTGCGTGAAGTTGTACTTTTATGTAGGGGCCTGTATTTTTCTAATCTGTATACGGGGTGTGTGGGGTGGGGTGGATATTGTTTTAAGAAGCAGTGGAACCACCCACACCCACCCCGCCACCAAGGATATCCTCTCCTTCATAGCTCTTGTGACGCCCAGGAAGTTCAGAGCAAAAGGAAACCAACTGGTACATGTTGGGTCCTTCCGTCAACAGCCACTGTTTGTTTAAACTCCGCTTTCTGTATTGCTGCCACTGGCTCTAAATGATAAAAAAAAAAAGACTTGGAAATTGTGTTGAAGCACACACCAGCTAGAGACCTCTCCACTGAAGGTCCCTGAGCTGGTGTGAAGGACGCCATGTAAACGCCAAAGCTTGGAGAAGTCACTCGTTGGGCTATAAACCCCAAGACCCCTGAGCCGTAAGGGGCTTGGAGTTCTGTGTGGCCTCTCCATCTCTTCCCCGCGTCAGCGAGATGAGCCTGCAGGAAGCTGCCTGTCTCTTGTGACCGTGGCAGGTCTAAATTCCATCCAATTAACCTTCCTTAACTGGAAGAAAACATTATCCATTAGGCACCTGGAACGGTTCCAGTTCTACAGCACAGCTGCCGCAAGGCTGGCTCACATTCAGAGTTTCAACGTATCCGTAGGATGGGATGTCTATACTGTAAAACAGAATACACTGCTTGTGAGGAATAGTAACTTCTCCGGATTGCAAAGATTTGTACCTTCAGAGGCATCTGATCGTGAGCTGGCGTCTTTCTGAAAAAGTAACTAAATCACAAGGTAGAAACATATCAAGTCTCTCCCAGTATCACCTTTAATGGCAACTGAGTGGCAGCTGTCAAGACTATCAAAACATTGGATTAATCAACTAGAGTTTTAATTGATCAGTCCATGGGATGGACAATATTTTGATCAATGGAGCTGTGTGTTATTCCAGGTACCTTTATTTTAGTTCTAGGACAGGGAGCAAACATGCTGAAGAAGGTCTCTGTGAAAACAGGGAGGCGGCATTTATCCATGTATTTACGAAGCGGTGTGTCATCTTTTTTAAAAGGCGAGTAACCTTTTTGAAAAGGCAGCTCTACTGAAGAGGCAGTAATAGGCGCATGTTAATATGATTTAGATGAAGACCTGAAAGACCTCCTAGTCACTGCGCGGCAGGCCTTTTCATTGATAAACGGCCCTATTTATCACTCACGTGGGAGAGCCTGACCTTCATCTTTTTCTCTTCTCCTTTGACTGAGATCACTCTTCACTCCAGGCCTCTGCCACCTTCCTTGCTTGGGAAAACAGATTGATTGCCACAGCTCAGCTGTTCCGGTGCCATAAAACAGACATTATGGTACTCCTAATGCATGGGGAATGGCGAAGTAACCTTTGTAAACAGAAGCCCCCGCCGCACCCGGTTCCTGCAAGGCAGCCTTCCCTGTTTTGAAAGCCTTGTGTTTAATTCCTCCCCTCCCTTCTTCTTCTTTTGCCCCCCAATTTTTGGTTAGCTCCCTTTCCACCGGCATAGTCCTGGCAGCCGCTGGCTCTTGGCCGGCTCCTTTTGTACTGGATGGCTGAACATCATCAAGGCTCCCGCCTGGGGCGTGGAGAGTTAGAAGTCACCAAGAATTTAGACCAAACCAGTTTTAAGCTTTGTAAAGCAAAAGGTTGATGGAAGGAGCCTCAAATAGGCATAAACATCTCCCTTAATTCTTCTCTCCCTCTGGCAAATTATGCAGAAATACTTTTGGGTGGGGCGGGGGGGATAAGCAGGTCTGTGTGCGCGCACACACTAGGTTGAATTACAAACACTGAATTAAACATCTAGAACTTGGGTTGCATGAGAGGTTTTCTAGGTCAGACACACCCAAAGTTGGCTGGCTCCTTCTTTCCCTCCACCGTGTGCCTGGGACGACATCTCCCATTCCCTTCTTTGCCACCAGATCTGGAGAGCATCAGGGTAGGGGAGGTTGACTTGTGTTGACTTATCAACACAGATCTGAAACCTGTGGGTGGGGACCCTTGTGTGTGGCTACACATCAGGGGGTGGGATGTACCAGGAGCTAAAGCAAGCAGAGGGAGCCCGCTTTCAGACTGGGATGGGTGTGTATGGGTGGGTGTGCAAAAGCATGAGGTCAGCCTCCTTGCAGCACAAGCACATCCTAGAGACGGATGAGGCCAAAGGCATAAAGGGGCATCAAAAGAACCAGAATCTTTCTACTCAAGAGTTTTCACTGCTCCCATAACTAAAAGCCACAAGAAACTTATTTCCAGCTTCCACAAGGGCTGGGGGGGGGGGCACGTCTTTGGTCAGCTGGTCTCAGAGCCGGCCTTCGTTTTTAAGCTGCTTGTGGTTGGTGGGCTTAAAAAACCAAAACCGATGCAGCCAACCTGAAACCCTTTCCCCTCCTTGCTGCCGTTTCTGAGGCAGACAACCAGCACCATTCCATTTCTTGGAAACGAAAGAAAAGAAAACCATCACATAATAGATGGATAAAAAAAAGGTCACCTTGCAAAGATACTCTCAGAGCAGCCAACTGAGGCTGGAAAATACTGCTGTGCCTCATCCCAGCTGCATGCCAGGCTTCAGTCCACTGTTTGGCTTTGCTTTCAGACGGCACTGTAAACTCTTTTTATTTTTATTATTTTTATAAAAGCAAAACTGCAGGCAAAACCCCTTTGCCAAAACTCACCAGTGCAGCAAACTTACTGTAATAAAAAAATCCCTGCCAAGTGCTGTTCTCCTGACAGCAGAAACTCTCTCTCTCTCTCTCTCTCTGTGTGTGTGAGAGAGAGGGGGGGGGAGTGTTTCCCTCTTCAGGATCGGTGCTGGTTTCTTCTGGGCCGACGGGAACCCCTATCCTAAAGAAACAGGGCTTGAACCCAAAGGCAGATCTGCTGATAACTGGAGCTACTTGGCTGGTGTTGTAACAAGGAAAACAAGACTGAATCAATGAACTCCCCCCCCCAACCGGTGGCTGATGACGTATTATCTCACCTGTTGCTTTTGGACAAGAACAAAAGGGATTTACGCACTTGCCGAGGCCAGCCCCAAAGACAGAGGAGGACAGCAAGACAGAGGATGCAGCATCTGTGGCAGATTTGGGGGTTGGGGGACCCAGAAGCAGCGCCAGACTCTAAGCAAGCCTTTCCTGGCCTGGTGCCCTCTAAATGCTTCCAATGTCCTCTTTCCCCATGCCAGCTGAAGATTACAGTAGTGCTACACTCTTGGTGAACCACGTGGCAACAAACCTGGGAAGTTCCCCATAGCTAGCCGGCTCCGACGATACATCAAATCCCTGTTTATTTTAACCTCAAGGCCCTGGCCCAGCCTAGCAATCCTTTTCCGCACTGAAATGACTTAGGCTTTGCCACAGGCTGGAATGCTGGGTGTGTGTGTGTGTGTGTGCTTTGAAATGCCACATGGAATGGGGGGGGGAGCAAAAGAGAGACTGAGAAGGTAGAGAGGATGGCCTGGGAACCAGCACACCATCTGCCACGGACGGGGTGGGAGTGGGGGACACACCAAGTGCTCCCAATGCCAGCAGGAGGTCCTAGTTTTTATGGCTGGTCTGCCTCACTTTGGATGCTAACCTTGTGCTTTTGTCCAGGAAGACCCACAACAGAGTCTTACCCGTTGGTTTCTGCGAGCCGTTAAGACTCCAGACCGACATGCTGGGTGGAGCAAAGAGTTAAGAGAACCTAGTGTCTCAGAGGAGACACTCAAAAAGAGGACTCCCCTCTGGCAGCCCTTTAAGTGGAGAACTGCTCTCTGTCCGAATAAAGGAGAGGCCACCTGAAAACCTCTGGAGAGTCACCCGCTCCTCACCCTGCCCCACAGCTTATAAGTTGCTATCCTCAAGGCTACCAGAAATGAGGGGATGTGGGCTCTGACTTGCAAAATACCCCCCCCTGATGCCGTACCTTGTACACTCTGGAGAAGAAGCCGCTCCCGATCAGTTCGGCGTCAAAGTTCTCCCAGAATTCCAGCCTCCTGACCGCCGTGCGCAGCCTTTGCCACCGGTCATCCTGGCAGTAGGCGTCCGGCGCCTCCTTGTAATAGGCGGGGGGACTTGACAGCTCTGGGGAGACCAGCCCCATTTCGCACATGGTAGGGATGGGGGCTGCCAAGAGAACGAGAAAGAGAGAGCAGGTTTTGTTGCTGGCTCCAAAAGAACGAGGCAGAGCTGAGGATGGGGTGAAGGGGGACCAGACCCAAAGAGGCTGGCCGTTTTCATTCTCAAATCACAGAGAGTGAACTGAGGCCGAGAGGCAAAATTTCACCCAGGCCAAACAAGGCGTCTGCAGCAGCACAGAGGCAGAGCTGAGTAGCAGCTTTCCATGGAGAGGGTTTATTTAAAAAAATCAAATAAATAAAACCAATGAAATGCTTGATGTTTCCCGCCATCCCAGAATACAACCCATGCAGGGCACAGCAATTTCTAGCAGATGCTGCAGGAGACACTCAAGGGAATACGTGAGGGAAGAAGAGCCAAAAGCGACAGGTGTCTTTTGAGCCAAGGGCTGGGAGAATCACTTTGGTGAAGTACAGTGCCCATCATCCTCAGCCAGGACGGATTCACGCTCCCAAAAGGGTTAATGTTTTCCAAGATGAGGTTCAGGCACTTTCTTCCGCCATGGACTTGATTTTGCCAAAAGACAGTGCCATAAAAGCCCACAGGTCCCCAGAGTTTCAGCATGGAAACCAACGCACTCAAGCACGAAGGCTCGGCCTCCAGACATTTGACAGGGAATATCTGTCATTCCTTGCTCCTTTGAACCCTTTCCCACGTTCAGTCCTTGAGTGGAAACCTTCAATGAGCCCTTTGTATGGAAGGGCGTTTATACCACCCTCCCCCATCTCCCTCTCTGGCATTAGAGACAAACCCATTAACATCAGGGCAGGGGCAGAGACCGGTCTTTATAAATTGGAGAGATTCTTTGTCCCAAGTACTAGCTGATGCCAGGACTCGGTGGCAGAAGAGAGAGAGAGAGACAGAAAGAAAATGAAAGCAGAGAAGAACTTTCTGAAAACGATCAAGTTTACTGCGTGCCTCTGGAAGTACACTCTGGTTTCTCTGTTTAAGCCCATTGTTAAGCGAGACCTTTGTATGCATTTATCTTGCTGGTAAATGGAATTTTAAAAGGGTTTGGGGAGTGGGGGGAGAGAGGCATCCCAGTCTCCCAGTTTAACATGACAAGAATGCATTTCTTGCATCCAGACAAACAGAGAAAACAAGGAGGACCAACAACCAGGAGGCAAAATGTCAGCTTTTAAGAGATGCTTTTGCTGATTTTTCTTTTTCCATCTGGGACACTCTTTGTGTTGACATTTTTCTCCCACAAATGATGAGTTATTCTCTTTTTTCCCCCCAGAAAGCAAGCATTGGGCAGTCTGAATAAACATGCAGTATGATGGCTGGGGTGTTTGGGGGTTATGTATGGATATACTTGGGTCTGGTCCTAGCAACATTTAAATCTCTGATACTGATTTTTATGCAGAGATTTGAACGGCATCCCTATTCTTCTCCCAGTGAGGCAGGTAAAGAACCACCTAAACCAATGGCTCCCAACCTGGGGTCCCCAGATGTTCTTGGACTGCAACTCCCAGAAGCCTCCACCACTAGCTGTGCTGGCCAGGGATTTCTGGGAATTGCAGTCCAAGGACATCTGGGGACCCACGGTTGTGAAGCACAGACCTCAGTGACTCTTCAAATGACTCTTCTTCTTCTCTTCCCCCCCCCTCATTAAAAAAAATTAAAAACTTAGCCGTCTCATCCTTTCTTCTCCTCTTTCCCTGAAAGGCTGAGCAAAATTTCCATGAACCAGGCCAAGGGTATCCGCATTCCTCTTGAGTCCCCCTCACCAGTTTGAGTGCATCACTTCTTCTGCTTTTACTAAAACTAGCAAAAGAGGTTGGGCAATTTGGGGGCGGACAAAATTCCCCAAAAACTGGGTGCTGCCTCCATCAGGGCAGGGGCCTCTGCATGAGACATGACTGTTGAAATAGGCAACTGGGAGGTCCTCACACCTCTGCCTCTCCTTCACTCCCTCTGCCCACACTCTGAGGCTATAAGAAAGCTCATAATGGAATTATGTGTGTGGGTTTTTTTGGGGGGGGGAGAGAATAGCAAGCTTGTTTCTCTTAAAAACAACCCTCTGGGTTCCAGTGATTTCTGGAATCAATACAGGAGATCTTGTCTGGTTGCTAGGAAACGGCATGCATTCTTGCTAGAATCGCAGGCGGGCTGGGGAGGCGGGGGTCGGAAGGCTGTCTAACACACCCTCCCAAGTGGGAGGCAAGGGCCCCCATCCGCTAGTCTCCATCACAACCCAGACCTGGACGTGGACACATGCCTCAACACGCAGCTACATCAGAGGAAGAGGACTTCAACCCAATCCAGCACGGACTCCTCCTACTAGCTGTTCCGGACTAGCGCAGGATTCCTCCCCGAGCGCCACAACAAAGCTGAGCGAGCACTTGGCAAACTCGAACAAGCCCTGGCAGCCGGAGGAGAAGGCTTTCTGCCCTGACCGACCGGAAGCCTCGTAGCCAAACCCGGGTCCCCACCCTTTGGAGACTCACCAAAAGAGAGAAGAATTGAGGTCATGTTATTTTCAGCATCTGTGCCCATAAAGCAAGAAGTCAAGAGAGCAAAACCCACCCAAGGTGAGACACCTGGCTGCATTTAGGAATAAACCCAGAAATGACAACAGGGGCAAGACAGTTGTGTTTCCATCCTGCTGTTCATGGGGCAGATTTGGAGAACAGGCCTTCAAGGAACTGAAAACCTATCACTTAACAGGGAAACAATGCGGGTAGGGACAGAATCAGGTGTAAAAAAAGAAAAGAAAACCACCACCACCACCCCAAGTCCTAATAACTCATCCCACTTAAGACCCCTCTTGCGTCTCCTTAGTGCTCCAGGTACCACCGGTCAAAAACCTCTGAACTGGGGACCTATGACTCCCTCTGGACCAACGAAGGTTCAAATGGCTGGATGCTACCTTTCATATCACAACGCAAGACATTTCCTTGATGGATGTTGGGAGGGAAGGGAAAGAAGATTGCATGAAGTCAGCTTGTGATCTTTATCCACCTGTATCTGCTTGCTTTTAAAAAGGGGGAGAAAGATGCTGTTGAGGGTTTCCCCTTTCCTAGGAAACCAACCTAGCCCAGGCTGGAGGCTTTTAAAATCATGAATATCTTACCTGGTGGAGGGAGGTGGTAAAGAGAGTCCATGCCAGCAGAATCTTTCATCTTCACCCCATCCCTGCCTTACTGGAGGTAAAACCACTGGTCCAGAAGGAAGCGCATATGCGGAGACTTAATGCCTGGTCACTACCCTGACGCATCCTCTCTCTTTCCACGGGCCTGGAGGTCACCCCCAAGCTGCCCCACGGTATCGGGACCTCCCCTCCTACTCCTTTGCAGGCAAGCGCTGGGGCTCCAACCGCATGCCCGGTCCTCCTCCCCCCGACGCTCCTTCGGAGCCGCTGAGCGGAGGGAAAGGGCTCCTTCCGACCCGGGCTCCAAGGCAGTCAGTCTGCCTGCCTGGGGGCTTCCCCCTCACCTGTTGCCGCCGCCGCCGTGCGCCCTCGCTCGCTCGCTCCCGGGGCCGCCAGGAAAGGCAACTGGCTCCGGAGTGCCGGCGCATCCGCTGCCCGGCGCGGGTCCCTCGGCTCCTCTTCCCCCGCCGGTTTCTGGCCGGCCGGCTGCCTCCTTGAAGACTGCTGGGTTGGGACCAAAGATCCTAGATGATACCTGCTTGCTGCTGAAGTGATGATAGCTGTCTCTTCCTCTCCCAGAATTGCTTCTGCATTGGGGTAGGGTGTGACAGAGACCTCCTGGGCTTGGAAGCAGCTGGTAGTAAAGGCAGGTGGCAGGCCATGGTTAAGGGCCAGAGCGGCAGTGGCGGAGGCGCCTGCCTTGGATGCGCAGCCGGGGGGCGGCGGCGGCGGCGGGCTGGTCGCTCACCAGAACACCTGCGCAAAGCCTCCATGGCCAAAGGCAGTCTATCTTCAAAAGCCACGCGCCATCAGAGTTCGGGAGAATTCTGGGCGCAAAATTCCTAAGTTCTGCTTCTCCATCCTGTTTCAGCTAGCTCCGTGACCTGTTGAATTCCTACCTGAAACCCAGATGTGGAAGGGCTTTGGAGAATAGGAAGACAAGACTCCAAAGGAAGACGGGCCCTGTGTGATGCTTTCAGATGTGGCTAGACAGCAATTCCCATGACCCCCTCACTCTTAGCTATGTTGGTCTAAGGCAGATGGGTGTTGTAGTGCTTGCCCACGCTGGCTGAACCATTAACTGGAAGGGAAATTTATTTGCAATTCCGGTCAGTTCAACACAACTGGCTTCAGTAGTAAAAGCAGAATTTGGAAAAGTTCTGGCCACGCTAACTGGGGATTCTGGGAGTTGTTGTCTGAGAATACAGCTTTCCTAGATTCTCCTATAGCTCACTTCCATTGGCCAAAAACTGAGTCGAGAGAGCTTGTTAATAATCAGCCAAGGAAATTGATTAGAAACATAAGATGCAATATAGATTGAATAATAAAACATGTCTACCTTCAAGAACATGGAAATGCGCTTTTCTTGTGCAACCAAATGCTGCCCTAAAATTGATTATTAACTGCTATTTTTAGATACTGTAGTTGAGTGGAAGCTCAGTTCAGCAATTATGGGCTGGCTTCCGTCATAGTTGAAATAGCATATCTCCTGCCCACATCTTCCCCATTCTTAAGTGCGTGGAGAGAGAGAAAAAAAATCATTAACTTGAAAACCATTTCACAGAAAACAAGGAGTTAGGTAAGTGGGCTGCTGGAGGGGGCTTGGCAGCTCCTGAGCCACTTCCCTTCCTGCTGACCAATGTTATTTTACTTCGCCATTTCAACTGTGGTATTCTATGAATGGGGTGCTGTTTTTAAGTTGCCAGCATACATTTCGGATTGAATAAGAGGAAGAAGGACCTTGTTGAATCTTGTAGATTGCTGTCATACCCAAAATTTAACTGTTTGGCAGCTTCACCATTTCTCTATATCTGTGAAGATTATCAGTCATCAGTGAGGTTATCTGGAAGATGAGTCATAGTAAATGGACTTCTTATTGGGCTGAAACATGGATAAGTAGTGAAGCATTTCAACCTAATAAGTCCAGTTGCCATGACTCAACTTCCAGATCCCATTTCTCTGGTATTTATAACCTGCTTAGATTCAAAAACTGCAACGTAGAGCACAGCAATAATAAAGCAATGATTTACAATACACAAAGAGAGGATGCAATGCAAAAAGACATTAACATGCAATATTTGTGTCGTCCTGGAGATAAATGCTAGTTTCGGCTATATGAAAAAGAGCTAAATAAACAAGAAGGCTTTCAACAGACGCCTAAAACTAAAAAATGTAAATGCCAGCTGAATTTGAAATATGATAAGATGACTAAAGAATTGATTGCCAATTTATTAACAGCAGCAAGATTAATAATAGCTAGGCAATGGAAATCAAAATCTGAATTTTGAATGGATGAATGGTATAATGAAATATGGAATATAGCTATAAATGATAAGCTAACTTGTAATTTAAAGGTTAAGAAAGGAGATTTGAAAAAGAATAATTGTTATGATATATAGGGCGGATTTTTGGAATATGTGTTAACAAGAGGAAAAGGGAAAGTTCCAAATCAAGAATCAATGCAGTTCTGGAGAAGAGCACAATAATAGAAGAAAAAGAATATATATGGAGGTGGAAGAAGATTGTTGCAAGACTATGGTGATGGAGAACACAGTTAATTTGTATTTTGGTTTATGTATTTTATGT